GAAAAATGCTAGCTGTTTAAAATAAAAGTTCAAAACGGCAATTTAAAATTTTTGCGAATTTCAAAAAAAAGAAAAAAATAAACAAAAACCAAAAATAAAAAAAACAAAAAAAAAAAAAACGAAGGGTTAATTGGAAAACAAAAATTTAGGGGAAGAAAATTTATTGAAAAAAAAGGGTTTTAACAAATCATAATAATTTTATAAATTAAATTTTTAAAAAGCCAAAGATTTTAGAAATTTTAAAACAGAAATTTGACTTTTAAAGTCAAACTGTATAATTTTGTCTTTTCATTTACACAAAATATATTTTTATTAGTAAATAATAAATAAAATAAATTTGGTTTTTTTTTTTTATTTATAAATTTTCCTTAAATTTTATGGGTATTTTAAAAAATAAAAATTATTTAAAAAAGTTTTCCAAAAATAAGTAGATTTAATAAACTATTTTTTTAATGTTTAAAATTCAAGCCTGGTTTTACCGTATGACCCATCACTTTCCAAAATCTAACAAATTTTGTTTTATGTGCTTTTTCCGAAATTTGGAAAGGAAAAGGGGCCCCAGTTAGCGATTTGGTCGCTTTATTTTTTCCCGTTTGTTTTCCTTTTTCCTTTAAATGTTAAAAAAATAAAAGGAAAAAAAATTTTCCTCAGTGATGATTTTTTTGAAATTGGAAAACCATTGAAAATTATTAAAATACAGGATTTTCCGTGCTTTATTAACTTATATCCCAAAGTTTTAAAAATATTTTTCTTTGATCACCCCCATATGTTTGGGGCAGGTTGGTTTTTGTACATTAGGTCGACTTGATTAAGTTGCAAGGGCATTGTTTTTCCCATCCCGGTTTTGTTTTTAGGGTTGTTAAACAGGTTTGGGGTTTGGGACCTCCAACCCACACCAACTCGCGCTACCCCTGCTTTTCCCGCTTCCCCCGGGGGGACCCTCGCCCTTGAAAAAAAAATAAGGGACGATTAAATAAAATTTGGAATTTTTTAAAAAATGATTTTTTTATTTTTTTTATTAATTTTCTGTGGGGCTTTAAAATATCTTACTGAAAAAAAAGTGTAAAGAAAAAGGAAAAATGTATTTTAAAAAAGGGATTAATTGATAATTTTCTCGTTTACTTTTAGTATTATAAAAAACTTTTCCCCGTTTTTTTTATTTTTACGTTTTTTGGCTAGATTTATAAATTTTTAAATTAATTTTTTACTAGGCCAAGAAAAAGGGAATAATTAAAGGGAAAAAAGAATAGTTTTAAACTATAAAAAGAAAATAATAAAAGGGGGAAAAACACTTATAGAAATGGTACTATTTTAATACTTCATAATTTAAAAATAAATAAAATTCGTTCAGGTTTTGGGAAAAATTCCTTTTGGGCTAATTTCCCCTTTGGGTTTTTTATGAGCAGGAAAATTTTAAAGGGGGTAAAGTAGCACGATAATTTATTACTAAAAAGAAATTTTTTTCGCCCATGTTCATTTTCAAATATCAAATTTTTTTTATGGTTTTTTTTGTTTTTTTTTCGGTTTTTTGGGGGTTTTTGGGGCCCCAAAAGACCAAATGTAGGGTTTCCCCACGTTCCAAACTTTTACTGGTGGTGAAAACATAAGGGCCCCTTTTTTGATTATTTAGGGCAAGAAAAGGGCCCTGGATTGGGGACCAGGGTTCCGTAAGCTTTAAACTGGAAAGCTTCCTCCTGAAAAAATCCAAAAAACTTGGTTTGGATTTGAACAAAGCGGTGAAGGGGAAGTGATTTTTTGGGCACCTTCGCCGGGCCAGGACACCCCCAAAAAAATCAATTGTTTTTATTTTAGTAATTGTTAATTTTTATCAATTTTTGTAAATATTGATCTTTTATAGGGGCTTGAAAAAAATTTTTATATTTTGTAACATTTGATTATTTTAAAAAAAAGGAGAAATTTAAATCATTCAACAAAAAAAACCCCGGGAAATTTATTGACCTTTCTTTTAATTAAAAAAATCATTTTAATTTTTTTATACTTTTAATTAATAAATAAGTTTTTCGTTATTTTTGGGGAAAAATTCTGTAACCCAAAATTTTAATAATTTTTTCTTTAAAAACTTTTGGAAACTTTAAATTTTCCCTACACCCGGGTTGTACAAGGTTTTTCAAATTTTTTGCCACCCAAAATCTTTCCCAAAAATTAAAAGGGGTTTTTTTCAATGTAGGGCTTAGGTTTCACTTTTTTCTGGAAAACCATAAATTTTTAATAGGTTTAAACGGTTGGTAAATAAATTTATATTTTAGTTTTTAAAATTTACTTTATCAATTTGGATTTAAAGGAAAAAAAAAGGCTTTTAAAAACCCTTTATAAAAGCGATATTTGCTTGTAAAAATTCCATAAAAAGAAAGGTAAAATAAATTTAAAAAGGGCCACCAACTTTTAGGTTTTCACTAAAATTTGAAATAATTTTCTAATCCTCCGTTTTTTAGTGTTCGTTTTCCCGTTTTATAACCCTGGGTAAGTTTTTTCGTATTAAAGTTTTAATTTTTATGCTTTACACATACCCTGTTCCCTGTTTATTTAACAAAATTTTGATTTCCCTTTAACAGTATATTAGGAAAAAAAAAACAGTGTCGCAGCCCAAATAATAACAGAAGAACTGTATTTCATCTAAACTGAAAAAAAAATCATAAAAATTTAGTAAAAAACCTTTAATAGCTAAAGATTCGGGTAACAAATAATTTTTTAAAACCAAAAAAACCGTTTTCTTTTATACAAAAATATTTCGAACAACTCGAGCTAGCATAAAAGTTTACTTTTGTAGTGTTCTTACCTTTTCCTTTAGGTGAAAAATCGAGTACCATTGATAAAACACGAACAAATATATTGTTAAAAACAAAAACGAAAAGATTATTACAACAATTCTAATCCGCCTGAAGACATCTTTTTCCAGAGCATTTACATGCTTAGTTTACAACCTTATGCACTCCTTGATTATCTGTATTATCATTAGAGTTATCGACAAGTGCATTGGCGTGAAGGTTGTTTAGTGTTGGCCCAATTTTCACTTTTAATTTGAACATCCTCAGTCTGTATCTTGCGTTTTGAGAAATAGAATGTTCAGACAATTTTGTCTTCTTTTCTGAGTTTTTCATACTGTCCTTCATCAAGAAACTTGCTCCGACTTTTTTCTAAATGCTCCATTATTTTCATCCAGTTGCATGCGTTACTCTTGTGTTGCCTTCAACCTCTTTTTTACGCCTAATCTTAGATGTTCGTATTATGCAAATTACTTTGATCGATTTATTTCTTCTGTGGATCTCTTACTTCCACAGTATCACTTCCTACTCTAAGTATTCTCATATAGACTTGTCGTTTAAATATCCCTGCACTTTTTCTTTGGACTTTTTCTTCCATATCGAATTCCATTCTAAATCATCTATTCTTAAATTGTTATGATACCTTAAGCAAAAATCATTTAATTTTTCACTAATTTTATGCCGGTTTTGTTATTTATAAATTCTTAATTCTTCCTTCTTTTGCATCAAACAGTGGTTTATTGTTAATATAAAAGTAAGTTTAACATTTCAACAAGGAAGATATGTTAATGTTTTATGTTTCATGCATAACTTTAAAATAGCGTTTAAAGTAGTGGGTGCTCACTCAACCTTAATTTGTTTCGAGATTTTTTTTCTTATCGAGGTCGTCATCAATTTATATACGGTATAAGTATACGAATGACATACAAACTGTATACTCTTCAAACTGTGTAACTGATCTACTATTAGCAAGTTATGTTTTCTGTATACAATACAACTTGAAGAAACAAAATGTAATACTTTCGTCTTAATTTAGATATGTTTTATTTTGTATATTTATTTATAATATTTCTATTAATTTATTTTGGGATGTTTTTTGTTTGTTTAAAATTCTTTTTTGTTTTCAGTGAATGAGATGGTGGCTTCAGAATAATATGCTATAGACCGGTTTTTTCAAAATGATATCGGGTAAATGATATCATGCGAAAACAATATTGCAATGACGGTACACCTATACTATACTGTGTTCCTTGAATAGTTTTCAAAAAACGTAGATTTCTTTGTGGAAAACATCGATCTATACAGATCTTGTAATGATTAAAACCCTAAAGACATTTCTTTGATTTATCAAGCTATAAAGAACCATTATTCACTTCAAATGAGCAAATGAAGATTGCAAAATCTATAAAGAAGAAAATAAAATTTATTTAAAAAGAAGAACGCAAAGCTGAAATAAACAGATACTTTTGAATATTTAATTTTTTCTTATCCTTAAAGCATGCCTTGGGTTTAATATTTTGATAACTAGAATTTACTACACTTAAAAAAGACCAGCGTGTAACCTGACGGAATTGTAAAATTATTCGCCTGTCACCTCTTTTCATGCAAATTTACCTGGCATTTGTGATAATTGTATCCACCTGGCTTTGCAGTCACCACCGGTAGCTCGCTTGACCCAAAACACTGAGGACAATTGCAGTTTTTTCAACTTAACAAATATGTTCATATATAATTCTTAACAAAGATGAAGATATATGTACATTTACAATATTAATGAGATATGCTGTCTGTATGTATCGGTAAAGTTGATTGTGAAAAGTTGGATTCCATAGAACTTTTAGGGCGAGTTTGAATACAACTTTATCCAATCAACGAGCGGGATACAATACATCAGATTAGCATATTAATGTAAATACAATGCATTTTTGTTATATTATTTCTTTAAATCTTAACAAAACCAGATTTTTTAGAAGACTAAATGTATGCATATATAGAAATCGTCATTGAAAACACGTGGCATCAACATTTGACCGTAAAAAGTTTGAGTTTCCGTAGGTATGTGAATATGATTGTTATTTCCTCAGAAAGGTACACAACAATAAGGTAGAGTGAATCTATCGTCTACTTAATTTCTTCGCCTCGTGTCGCCTTCACGTGTCAGTTGTCGGTGTAACTCGAGCTGTCGTTTAACCTGGAACAGCACAAAATTACAACATTTAAGGGACTTCCGCCGAGGTCCGGAAGCAAAATTATATATATTTGTGAAATTCTAACATAGTATAATAGATTTACGGAGGCACGTATAAAAGGAAAGATTTAATAAAAATAATAATTTAACATCAAATTAAATTGAAAATCGCATTTGTTATGAGCTATCATAGCGTATTTCAGGTTTTCAAAAGTAAAATTATTTTGGAAAAAGCAATAACCAAATAATATGAATTTTGTACACAATATATTGATTCAGACCTTCCTCAAATGACACGTGCATTTTGAAAAACGATAAAGTTTTAGTTATATGTACTGACAATAGACTGGAGCATGCACTTAGCTTATACTTACTGTTAGTACCCATGGCTGAAGCATGTTGTTAGCTAATTTAACATGACTAAATACTTACTGATAGTGCCCATGGCACTGCAAACATGACAGACAACACAAATCGACAACTCCACCCCTTTGAATAAAAAATTAACATATCAATTAAGATTAATGAATAAAATAAAAAAACGATTTATAAATCCCTCATATATATGCTAATCAAGATACTCTTAGGCATCATATAACTTGCGCCTATACAAAATTTATTACTTGAGAAATAAGCGTGACTTAGGTTCTCATGAGACCCTATCAACTTGTAAGAGCAACATTGTCGCAAAATACGCCCATCACAAAAGCTTTTGACATATATAATGTGGGCATAATATATATGCGTATAGGAGATATGCTCTGGGCAATATAAGGAAAACATCTCGAGTGATCTTGATCTATATAACATGTGTCACACTTATAGACATGATAGTTATCATTTGGTTACATTCCATCAATAAAGATGACTGAATGGACCCTGTACATAAATTTTGACCTCTCTATGAGGCCTTGACTTTGGTAGTAGGGACCTGGATTATTGCGCAATAAGTCTTTCAATGATGAACATTCGTGCCATGTTACAATTAATGTAAAAGAACGTGCACGCGACACGGCTTCTCATAGTGGTGAACATTCCTATGTATTTTGACATAAATTGAGCGCCGCCCGCCCGCCCGCCCGCCAGCCAGACCACTTGCCAAGGGGGAAACTAATACGACCAGTATTTTCAAACGTGCGTATAAAAAATATAATAAACGATTCCAATTTTATAAATGAACACAAAGTTTATATAATCAGATTAAGAATATTTAACTCTTTCAAAGGTATTTACGATTTCCTAATACATAACGTCATATGTGAATTTAGTTCCTTTATTGTTTTAAACTCCCATCATCACTGCGGTATACCGTTCCCCGGATATTGCTCGATATTATGAGGACTTTCATCCCATTTCGCGACTTTGAACGGGGAACGAAGGTAAGTTCAGCGACGATATTTTCCAAACTAATGGCTATTTCATTTATCTCAACTGGTTTTATATATCTAGAGGTATTTTTGTAGCTCTAAAAGACGTAAAAGTATTAAAGGTATTTGTAAAATTGATTAAACTACCCCTAAACGACCCGCTGCTCACTAGAAAATACTGGCCGCGATACTGTAGAATCGTTAGAACTTATTATATTACCAATATAAAAAAAATGAATCGAGCAATTTTTTAATTCACAATCCAAGTATGCTTTGTCCAAATTTCAGGCAAAAAGTGTGAAAGTACAAAAAGATACAGGCCAAAAAAGATACAAGAAAGTGTACCGAGTATTGATTTTAAGTGTACAGAGTATTGCAAAATAGCCCAACTTTAGTGTACAGTGTATTGCAAAACAGAATGAGCACATTAGTATGGAAAATCGATATTTTTGTCTAATTTTCACGTGTGTTTATCGATTCCATTTCATTTTGCTGATAATGTACTGTTTATATGATATTTATTTAAATATTCAGATTCAACAATGCATTTTCAGTTTTATTACTGTTCTTTTCTTACGGGCAAATACAGAGATTTAATTTCCCATTTGATTGCAAATCACAATATGGGTGAAATAAAGTGTGTGCAGGGTCGGAAGCAGGGTCGGGAGCAGGGTGGAACCATCAAAATTGACGGTAAAAATCTTTAAAAACATGTCTCAAGAAACTGTGATCGAGGGACCCATTTAGATGACATTAATAATAGTATTTTACAGGGCAAGTTTGCTTTAAGAAACATATCGACACACTTAGTAAAATATTGGCCCGAGGGCTTATGCCGTCCAAACATGCCGGTATCGTCTTAACCTTTTACTGCATGAGCATATTGCGAAAAAAGCCTGTTTTCATTGATTTAAGCCTTTTGTTACAAGTTCAAACTGCTATGAAACTATAAAAAATGCTTCAATACTGATCAAACTGGGCACAAATGTTGGCTGGACCATAGCCTGTGGAATAGCATGCTCAATTTTAAATTTCCAGTTACTATGGCAACAGGGGGACGTCTCAAAATTGCCAAAACTCTCTATTTTGCGTTGTTTTTTCCCATCAAAACTGATTTCAAGGTGCAGCAACTTCTTAATTGATTGAGATAAAGTCTAAGGTTTTCGGGCGTTAATTACACCGTTCGTTTAAATCGACCTGAGGCCATTTTAGCCCCCCCCCCTCACAAGTCCCAAATCTCGGCGATTAGAGGGGCTACTGCCCCACTTCAAACCCCAAACAGAAGGGGCACATCCCCCCTGTGGCATCCCCTTGATGTACCTTTTTAATGGGAGGGGGTGGCGCCGAAAGAGTGATCACTCTTTTGAACAACATTTCTCAAACTCAAAATTTCTGAATAGCGCATGTTTTACACTATTTGAGGCCTCAAAACGGGTGGGGTGTAAAGCCTTCAAAACACGCCTTTATGAAGTAAAAGGTTATAAGGAACATAACCCTTTTATTTCTTCTGCTGCCCTTTATCATAATCTTATCAAAATCCATTATTGGTTTTTTTAGCTGTACCCGCTCGGAAGTCATACGGTAACTCATTGCTAATGACGTAGCAAATTTCACGTGCAGACGGTCTGCCGTTGCTAGAGTGCAGGTACAAAATGACCGAAAGTTACCTTTATATGGATTTTTGGCATAGTAGGAAGTCGGTTGATATTAGATATTGGCACACTTGCTCAATGCCGTCTAATATTGACAATCTTGAGGCAGCATTAATGCACTTTGGATACTTTTTTTTACGATTTAAAGTAAGATATGCAATTATTATTAACAACTTCTGGAAAGGTTGATCCTTCGATAGCAACGAAAACTTTTAAACACAAAATTGCTGAGTTCGTTCGACTGAGATTTTTCATGAGCAGGAATGAAAATCTGGATTATTCGCAGATGTTTCCAGTAAAGTACCTCCGAACTCTGCATATTCTGCACATATAGTGTAAATAAGTATACACAATAAGAAATATTTAAAAATACTTTGTGTTTACTACTTGCATTTACTCTATATTGATAACCAATACTCGTTACACTAAAAAGCAATACTCGTGACACCGGCGGGCAACTCCAACGCAATACTCGGTACACTGACATGTGTATTTATTCTCAAATGCACTGCCAACTGAGGTTCTTTTGTCGATTGAACATTTACAACATAAACATTATCATCATTATCACATTTCACTCGATTCAAGTTTTTCTTTTAAGGAAGTATATGCACAAAAACATCAAATTTGACTGATCCGAGCTCATTTATCACGTGAGCAAAGAGACGAATTTTACTTCCTAATTACATTTCAAAGCTATTTCTCATCATTTTTGGGTTTTCAGCAACTAGAGAAATTATCGAAGTATTTGTTTTTCTATAAAATTTATATCAAACCAATTTAAAATGACTAAATATCGTCACTGAACTTACCTTCTTTCCTCGTTCAAAGTCGCGAAATGGGATGAAAGTCCTCATAATATCGAGCAATATCCGGGGTACGGTATACCGCAGTGATCATGCTGAAACTGAAAGTAATTACCGTCACCAACCGTGTACAACCAGAGTTGTGTGTAGTCAGACCTGTCTTTACTTAGACCTTCTTTATATTCCGAAAACTCAATAAAAGGTAGTTAAACACTGGACGCTAAGTAGTAAAGTTTAACGAATTCATGAGGTTAAAAGTTATTGTGTTACATGAATGAATAATGATGATTTGTACCATTTCGTAATTATAGGCAAGGTATGTGTTCCTCATCATGTTCAACAGAATCCACACATTCCATAAGACCTGAAATAAATCAAAGCGCTGTAAGCACTGATGTTGTACCTCAAATCAGGAAACAGTTCAATCTTTAATATAAGAGTATTTGAAAGAGCAACATTTTTATATGTAATGGTTAAAATTATATTCCGTTTCACGCCCATTAAATCTTATGCAGACATTTTTTTTGCAGGCGGTTTTTATGAAAGTAGTTCATGGCCAATTATTCAAACCAGGAATGCTATTAAACAACTGTTTTCACTGTTTTTCACATTGTTCTTTTTCTGGAAACAGGATGAAAAAATATCGGTTTTAAAAGGTTTCCTCGATATATTTGTCATTATCTTAATTAAGATATTTTTAAGATTATGATTATCACCTGCTTTTACTTGTATGAGTCACCTAATTTATACAAATCCACACAACATTTATTTCCTAAAAACATATGATATGGTTACTTTATTAAAATTGGTTTTATCTAAAATTGTTCATAAAAGACAATACAAATAAACACATGTGTTATCAAGAACTGTAGGACAAGCTACACCGTGTCTTACGAAAATGGCCGAATAGATACGATTGTGGAACTAGGACATTAAAATATAGGAATCAGTTACCACAATAATGATAATTTTTCAGTTAAGAATGATATTATTTAGTTAACAATGATAAGTATTTGTTTTACGTATTATCATTTCACAACTCAAAAACTATTTTTAGAGTACTTACAAATGCTATAAAAGACATAAATCTGTTGAATACGATGTTATCACGAAGCATTGTGAGACATCCAAAAAATGCCTGAACAAAGCCAAAACAACAGATAACCTTTCCTTGGAACAACAAGTTTGCGAGTACATGGTCCGCAGAATATGTATACAAACACACACTGACCGCACCATAAAGAAGTACACATATGCCTGAAATCTGTCAGGAATATCATGTTTTACTAGGAAGCACAACACGAAAAGCCTCCTAATTTATGCACTTTTATAATAGAATTAAACCTATTAAATTAGAACAAGATGAATACTTTTATTATAGCATTATAACAGGAAAAATATCCATACTTTGATAAAAATATTTAAACAGGAACATGAACCATTCTGATAAGTCTGATAGAATCAAGTATTTAAAAAGGAAAAATAATATGCAATTTTATTAAAGTATAAAACAGGAAAACATTATACCTTTAAAACTGCATTAAATAGAAAAAGGAATTTTGCACATAAATATACGTAGTAGCATTCAAATTCACTATTACAGACGTTTGAATTTGAAATTATTCTATCTAAATATTCAGGCCTTAATTGTGCAAACTAAGCAAAACATAGGATTTAATCTAGAATTATTAATGATATACAATTATAATGCATTGCCTTTATTAATATACTCAATTCAAGTCAAATATCTTTATTCACTCAGGTATAAATATAATACATACTAAGGGGTTAACAAAATAATAATTTTCAATAAAAATGTTCCTGTTGTAAAGTCCTGAAAAAAACACCACGCGCAACCTCGACTTTCACAAACCGGAAACGGGATCAAATAAAAACAATGAATTGAGTTGAATACACTACAAAACTGTAATTTTTTAAGTGCTTAATATTTGAATATTCAATCCTACTTTTACATGTATATTATTTGCTTATTGTTTAAAATATTTTCATGGCCTTTAGTTATAATCAACGCATTGTTTAAGATAACATTTTGTTCCAGTTTAAGATTTATCTTTTTACTTTTGCATATTTTGTAAATCATTTTCTGATAGTACTTACAATAAAAATAAACCCAGGGTTATTAGCGTCCATTTTTATCATTGTGATTTTAGGTGTCGTGTTGATATATTTTTTCTGAAACGAACATGACTTGAAATAATGAAATTAAATCGAATATGGCGCGTAAAAGTAAATCTGGCGAAATTGATATCATGCAACCAAGTATCTAACGAACGTTGTCCTTTTTCAAATGGAAATAACACAGTGATATCTTAACACCAGAACAAAGAAGTAAGATATTTTGTCCCATAGATTGTAAAAACATACTTATTTTGTTTGTGCTGTATAGTTTTGTTCCGAATACTTATAAAATGAAAAAGAAACAAAACATAATAATTGATTGTATTCAACAAAGTAATAAAATACATTAAAATATGCATTTTGAAATTGATAGGATTATGTCAATATTCATATCTATATAAAAGAAAGAAAAGCCTTATGCAAAAAATAAACTGTTTAAATTCCAATATATTTATTATTTAAATTTTAAAGGATTTTTTTTAAAAATATTTATTTTATGAATATGTACAAAATGAAAATAATATATCATACTTATTAAAGTACACGAAAGATAAAACCGTAGAGCTTCTTTTTATGAATATAACATTAGGTATAGTCTTACCTAAATGGTTCTAATCCCGCAAATGATTAACTCTACTACAGACAAAGATAAATATTAAATACAAGGAACCCAACAAAAGATATCACGTAATAACTATTTTAGTTAACACCGAGATTTTGAAAGAAAGCACCGATTTTTATCACCGTTAACCGCGGCAAGATAAAAAAAATCTTGTTAATTTGAATAATATTGAACATCTTCAAATTTAAGGTCGAAAATGAGAATAAATTTCAAATTACAGTGAAATGATGAAATGATGAAAAAAAACATATATATCTTTCAAATTATATATAACATACACACGTATACATGTATGTATGTATAACTATATTGTTTTTATTGTATTTTTAATGACTCTTAAGTTTTATGATATTTGCTCACTATCACAAATATTGTTTTGATACAAATGATGTTTATGCTCCATAGACAGTATACTTATTATGTCTTGACACCAATATGCAATATGAACTCAAATATATATGAAACAAAATAAAACTGTATTTGGAACAGACAAACATTATCAATGTTTGTGGAAAATAAATAACACAAAACAAAACATTCCTTTTGGTGCAAGAGACGAAACCATGCTTCATTTTGGTATATGCCAACTCTGACGACGGGTTCACCTTGGCGTTGCCAAATGCAATTTACATTCATGATTACTTCCTCATCACTTTCAAAGCGACCAAACACTCGGTCTATTTGTTTCCTGGTTTTTGAAATAGTTAAAACCAGAGAATATGGGAGATAGGGAAGGATTTCAAAAGCAATATTCAATAAAAGACATTAATTGAAAGTTTCAAAACATAACCTTATTTTACTAAGTGACGATGTGGCCTCTCGGATGATGGTTTTCTTTACATATATCCATTCAATATCGCATATTTTAGTTTGCTGTTGAACTATGCATACCTGATTTATGCTAAAATACCTTTGAAGCGGTGTGGGGGTAGTCTTCTTTATTCTATTTAACTTTCTTTTTTTGCACTTGACATTTTTATCTTAATTAAATTAATAATAACAATGAAAAAAGACACTGAATATTTATATAAAAAGATGTAGTCTAAATTGAGAGTGAATGGTTTTTATGCTTTCATATTGGGCTTTTGCTAAAGAATGACATAAGTATTTATTTATATAATATATGTAAAAATATGATTTGTATGAAGTGAAGTCTATTTATAAGCCTAAAACATTTCAGATTCACAAACTAATTCTTTCGTCAAGGAAAAATATCCATGAATAAATAGGTTTCCCATATATACACGATCTTATATTTGTTTGACTCTGTAAAAATCTCATTTAGTCTAAAGAATAATTCATTTCTAGGTTTCAAAGAAAAGGTGTGTAAAACTAAGGGTTTCCGATATATCTTACGTACAGTATACATCTAAGATTGTTAAATCGATTTCTATAATTAACAGACTTATAGTTCTACATAATATTATGTATATTTTGTTAAATCTATGTACCAGAAAGGTGAGAATTCACTTGAAAATGAAAACAGACAATTCATGTCATAAAAATTACAAAAACTAGAAAAAAAAAAAAAAATGACGTGTTTCATTACATAATATTCATCTGAAATAGAAACTAAAAAAAATTTATATTTTAAAAAATAAAATTAATAGAGGATATTCTTTTTATTATTGTTTAATGAACAGAACAGAACAGAACAGATAGTTTATTCAGATTTGTACATAGTACATCATCTTGTATATACATATCAATAATTATATATGTCAACGTGAGATACAATAAAAACAGAATTATTTTTGACAGTAATGGTAGTAATTTGAATACATATAAATCAAAACAATTAATCGTGTATAAGGAGAAAGAACATGTATTAGAGTTATCTTTCTACAGTTAATACTGAATTTCTTAAAGCAAGAGCGTTTTTGATGAACAGTGATAATTGTATGAGCTCGGTTTTATCACAAGAATTCAAAAGTTTGATAAACTTATAAACAGATGGTCTTTTGACGTAAATATCCTTTATGTATTTTTTTCTTAATTCTGAATAAAAGCTGCATATACATATAAAATGATATTCATCTTCTATATCTAAATTATTACAACATAAACAATATCGTTCATTACGGGGAATAGGGTTTCTATTAAATCTTCCTGTTTAAATTCTAAGAGGAAGACCACTCATGCGTAATTTACAAAAATAAAATCTAAATCCTTTTGGTAAAATATCTAAATATTTCTCATATTCAAATGTACTCTTGACATTTTTATAAAAATATAAAAGGGAACTATTTTCTAAGTTAGCAAACCATTCTTGTTTAACAACATCCAAAATGCGATTTTTAAACTCTGTCAAAAATATATTCTTATCTATGTAATTTATTTGATCAAAAACATATGAAAATCCATAAGCATTCAAAATTTTTTTCACATTTGTGACCCAGTTTACACATCCACTATTGCTGTCATTTAATGCTGTATTATACATAGTTTTTAATAAGATATTATCAGTCTCAACAATTTTCATCCAGTATTTTATTATTCTTATATATCTATTTACATACAATGGGTATCTTCCCAATTCGCCATAAACATATGCATTACATGTATTCTGTCTCACTTTTAATAATCTTTTGCAAAATTTTAAATGAATTCTTTCAATTGGTTTCGACTTAGAATATCCCCAGATTTCACATGAATAGTTCAAAATAGAAACAACAAAAGCATCAAATAACTGACAAAATAACTTTGGACTTAGATCATATTCATTACATTTACATAATAACACATTCATAGCCTTTAACGCCTTACCTATCAAATGTTCCTGATTCAATAAAAAGCTACCAGTGTAGTTAAAAACTGTTCCCAAGTAATTAAAGTCATTTACCACTTCAATTTTTTTACCATCATAATACCAATTCTCTTTTGGTAAGAGCCCACCCCTTTTACGGAATACCATTATTTTTGTTTTTGTTGTATTTACTTTAAGACCCCAGTTATCACAATAAATTTTTAAAGTGTCTAAAAGTTCTTGAGTTTCCTCAGGTGTCTGACCTATGATAGCCATGTCGTCAGCAAACAACAAAAGAATTAAAATTATATCCTCCAGTAATAGACCAGAGTCGACACTGTTTTGTAAAAACAATTCTAAATCTTCCATAAAAAGAGAAAATAGCAGAGGAGACATTACCTCCCCTTGACGTAAGCCTACAGCATAATTAAAAT